ATTTTTCAGTTGGTAGGAAATTTTGAATTTTGCCCGGGTGGCGGCCGAAGCCTACTCTTATCGATTTTAGACCACCAAGGGATCTTTAACGTGCGCAACTTGCACACGGGCCCTCCGAGATTTTTCGCCCTTGTCCGAGAAGGCTAGGTGTAGATCTTTCTTACCAGAAGATCAGGGGTGTGGCAGAAAGACAGCAGTAAGGGGGAGCCAAGGAGTAGCAGTAGAAAGGCTGCAGAAAGAGTCAGGAGCCCAGAGGAGGGGGCAAAGGAGGTGAGAGGGTGGGGACAGAAAGTGGAAATGAAAGCAGACAACAGAACATTGCTAGAGAGCAGGAAAGGAGGTGAAATGAGACAATTTTAGAGAAGAAAATGTTTCGGTCGCTACCCGGATTCGAACCCGGGACCTTTGAATGAGAGGCCAACACCTTAACCTCTAGGCCACGAGAGCCCCTTAGTTGAGGTTTTACGGTGCTCGCAACTGCATTATGTCGTATGAGCGCCAAAAAATTGGAGGTGTTACAAGAGAGTAACAAACATAAAAAAGAAGAAGGGGAGATGAGGACGGTAGATGTTTGATATGAAAGAAGAAGCAAACCACACCAGAGCTTCCGCCAACCACCCACTTACGAAGATCTACCACTGTGAGAGCCTGCAATAAATCACACTGGTAGATATTGAAGACTCTACAATGTTCTCGGTCCGAATTTATTTTGTTACCCACAGCTCTGCTGGGCAAATTTTTGTTAAAATCGTTGTTATATTTTTTCAACTCAACCTCTCGTTCTTAATTTTACAGATTACAGACAGGTTAACATGAAAACAAAACAAAACAACAACAAAACAACCCCCCCCCCCAAAAAAAACCCCCCAACAACCAACAAAAGACCAATCCTTTGTAAAAGTTATTTTTCCTCATTTAGAAAGATTTGAACTGCCTACTAAGCTTTAGGAAATCTTGCTTTTCGGAAGAGTACGGCATATCGATGCTAAATAGGACTATGGTCTGTGATCAAACAGAGACTGCATTTATTAGGTGAGGATTCGTCCTTGACTATAACCTATTTCTGTTGCTGTATACCCCCCCCCCCCTTCCACCCCTCCTCTCAGATCGAAACTACGCCTCCCGCCTGCTGACAGCTGCTGAAAGCCTCTACTCCTTCGCCAAGAACAACAGAGGAGTGTTCAGGGATGACGCCTTTTTCTACTCGTGAGTTGGGAGAATGGTCGTTTTAGTTGATAGAGGGCCCCTCGTAAAACCCGTGACGGTCAATCAAACTATCGGATCGCAGCCTCCACGTTTTGACTTAGATTAGAATGTTGCCTTTTGTTTCCATACGAATTGAGTTTATTTTTAGATTATTCCCCCTCCCAAACCCCCCCCCCAAACAACCCCCAAACAAACAAAACAACAACAACAACAACAACAACAACCAAACCCCTCCTCCCCCCAACAACAACTGGGCAGTTGTGTCTTTTTAGTTATACCTTTAAATTACAGCAAAAGTTGGAGGTAGCTCTAAGAAAAACAACAACAACAAAACAAAACAAAAACAGAACAGAAAATCAGGTGGTGGAGGATAAAAGGGGAAGACTATTCAAATTGACAGCTAAATTTGACTCTCTATTTAGAAGATTTCGGTTGGTGAGTGTGAGAGTGAGTATAATATGTTTCTGCGACGTGTGAAAGAATGCAATGTTTAACAAAATATGCCCTCTCATGTCTCTCCCATGTTTCTGTACATATTGCCCTCCAATGTCCCTCCAACGTGGCTGTACATATTGCCCTCCAATGTCCCTCCAACGTGGCTGTACATATTGCCCTCCAATGTCCCTCCAACGTAGCTGTACATATTGCCCTACATATTGTCCTCCCATGTGTCTGTGTGGTCCACCATGTAGATCGAGCGGTGACCGTAACGAGCTGTGGGAGGCCAGCATGTGGCTGTACATATTGTTCTCCCATGTGGCAGTACATATTGTTCTCACATGTGGCTGTACATATTGTCTTCATATGAGTCTGTACATATTGTCTTATATATCGTCCTCCCGTGTATCTGCACATATTACCCTCCCACCATCATGTGTCTGTGGTTTTTGTGTAAGAGACCGGGACGAGCTGTGTGAGGTCAGCATGTGGCTGTGCATATTGTCCTCCCCTGTCCCTCCCATTTGTCTGTACATAGTCCTGCCATGAGTGTCTGTGTTGTCTGTGCTGGTCAAGCGGAGACCGGGACGACCTGTGTGAGACCATCATGTGGCTGTACATATTGTCCTCCCATTTCCCACCATGTGTCTGCACCTACCTTGCCCTGCACAATGTCTTGTCATGTGTCTGCGGTGTCTGTGTAGGTCGAGCGGTGACCGGGACGAGCTGTGTGAGGCCAGCATGTGGCTGTACCGGGCCACAGGCAACAGACAGTACCTCCAGGACGCCAACAGCACCTGGGTGGAGACCGCCTGGGCCTGGGCGCTGGGCTGGGACGACAAGAAGGTCGCCTGTCAGGTAACTTTCTTCTCATTTTTTTTCTTCTGTTTTTTTGTAAGTGTTTTACGGCGCTCGCAACTTAATAAGGTCACATGAGCGAGCGTGATACACTAAACATAATTTTATTTACAGTTGATAAGGAATTTTGAATTTTGCTCGGTTGACGGCTGAAGCCACTTCAGTCATTAACACTGGCTGGGAGGGAGGGGGGGTGGGGGCAACATCATCCAGGCAGAAAGACCGAGATACTCAACAGGAAATCTCTCCATTCGGGGATAACTTTGGTTGGGTCACCTGCGTCGGACAGTGTCATGCCTTGCCACCAAACCGGGGGGGGGGGGGGAACCCACACAACTACGAGTCTGAAAGAAAGGGCCGATTTACTTTAAATCAGAGGCATAGCCTTCACACATTACCAAAACCTTGTAGTGTTTGTGTATCATGCTGCAGTTCAGCTGGCGTTCTGTCGGGTTTTTTAATTGATTTATTTATTCATAATTTATAGGTTGATTAATTGATTGATTGATTGATTGATTGATTAGTTTTTTTATTCATTCATTTGCTTGTTTGTTTGCTGGATTTTTTTTGGGAAGGGGGTTGGAGAAGGAGGTTGGGCTGGAATACTTTTCCTTGTCTCGAAACGCCCTCAAGCTCACTGAGACCCGTTATTTTCCTCACACCCTGTGTTTCCCTTCGTGTGCCTAGGAGCTGCTGTACGAGGAAACACACAACGCAGACTACCGGCGCGACGTGGAGGGATACTTCAGCTCTTGGCTCCCAGGAGGCACCAGTCAGATCCCCTACACGCCGTGTGGTTTAGCTTGGAGGAGCTTGTGGGGAGCCAACAGATATGCTGGTGTGTGTGTGTGTGTGTGTGTGTGTGTGTGTGTGTGTGTGTGTGTGTGTGTGTGTGTGTGTGTGTGTATGTGTGCGCTCGTGTGTGTGGGTGCATGTGTGTGTTTCTTTCTCTCTCTCTCTATCTTTCTGTTTCTCTCTCCCTCTGTCTGTCTCTCTCTCTCTCTCTCTCTCTCTCTCTCTCTGTGTGTCTCTCTCTCTCTCTCTCTCTCTCTCTCTCTCTCTCTCTCTCTCTCTGTCTTTTTCTCTCTCCTTTTCTCTCTCCTTCTCTCTCTCTCTCTCTCTCTCTCTCTCTCTCTCTCTCTCTCTCTCTCTCTGTGTGTGTGTGTGTGTGCGTGTGTGTGTGTGAACTTGGGGCCAATTGCGATGTTCCTGTCGTTCCAAATTACTTTTGGTTTGGTCATCTCCTTCTTTCACAATGAACAAGCAACTCAGTTTCTTTCTTTTTGGCAGGAAACTATGTTTTTTGTGGTTATGACTAGGACATTCTGTTTCTTTTGATCTGACCAAGTAGCTCTTTTTCTCTTGTTATGGGCTGGCAACTACGTTTCTCTTGTTCCGAGGAGATAGTTCTGTTTTTGTGTGTGTTCAGAGCAGGTAACTCTGTTTCTCTTGTTATGGGAAGGTAACTCTGTTTTTCTTGTTATGGGAAGGTAACTCTGTTTCTCTTGATCTGGGCAAGTACCCCTGTCTTTAATGATATGAACAAGTGACTTTGTTTCTCTTGTTATGGGAAGGTAACCCTGTTTCTCTTGTTATGGGAAGGTAACCCTGTTTCTCTTGTTATGGGAAGGTAACCCTGTTTCTCTTGTTATGGGAAGGTAACCCTGTTTCTCTTGTTATGGGAAGGTAACCCTGTTTCTCTTGTTATGGGAAGGTAACCCTGTTTCTCTTGTTATGGGAAGGTAACCCTGTTTCTCTTGTTATGGGAAGGTAACCCTGTTTCTCTTGTTATGGGAAGGTAACCCTGTTTCTCTTGTTATTGGAAGGTAAATCTGTTTCTCTTGTTCTGAGCAGATAACTCTGTTTTTCAGCTCTGTTTCTCTTGTTATGGGCAGTTCTGTTTATCTTGTTATTGGCAGGTAACTCTGTTTCTTTTGTTATGGACAGTTCTGTTTATCTTGTTATTGGCAGGTAACTCTGTTTCTCTTGATCTGGGCAGGTAACCCTGTCTCTATTGTTATGAACAGGTAGCTTTGTTTCTCTTGTCATGGGCAGGTAACTCTGCGTTCCTTGTTATTGGAAGGTAAAACTGTTTCTCTTGTTATGAACAGATAACTCTGTTTTTCAGCGCTGTTTTTCTTGTTATGAACAGGTAACTCTGCCTTCCTTGCCCTGATTGCTGCCGAGGCCGGGATCGGGACGTTGAGGTACCGGAAGTGGGCAGTGGAACAAATCAACTTCATTCTGGGCGACAACAAACATGACGGCGGTTGCTTCAGTTACCAGATCGGTTACGGATCCAAGTACCCTCTGAGGCCACACCACAGGGCAGCGTAAGTATCCTTACAAGCGGGAAGGGGGGGGGGTGTGAGGGGAGTGAAAGAGAGAGAGAGAGAGAGGGGGGGGGAGAGGGAAGGGTAGATAGATAGATAGATAGATAGACAGATAGATAGATAGATAGATATATAGGGAAAGAGAGATAGATAGAGAGAGAGGGAGGGAGATGGAGAGAGAGAGAGAGAGAGAGAAAGAGAGAGAGAGAGAAAGAGAGAGAAAGAGAGAGGGAGAGATTTATAGATATATAGATGGATAGATAGATAGAGAGAAAGATAGAGATAGAGAGAGAGAGGGATAGATAGATAGATAGATAGATAGAGAGAGAGGGGGAGAGAGAGAGAGAGAGAGAGAGAGAGAGAGAGAGAGAGAGAGAGAGAGAGGGAGGGGTGTAACGTTAAGGGTTTCTTTGTCGCACTCAGGATACCTGAGTTTGATTCCGGAGTGTGGAGAAATGTTGTGCCGAGTGTCTCGGCCTTCCTGCTGGGATCCCTCTCAGCCCGGGTCTGTCTGCTGAGATGTTGTATCCCTCTCAGCCCGGGTCTGTCTGCTGAGATGTTGTATCCCTCTCAGCCCGGGTCTGTCTGCTGGGATGTTGTATCCCTCTCAGCCCGGGTCTGTCTGTTGAGATGTTGTATATCTCTCAGCCAGTGATAGCCCTGACAGACAAGGTGGGAAGTCCGTCGCGTAAATGATCTAAAGTATGTCGATGGTGGCGTAAAAACACCTACATTTGTGAGGCAATTGTCAAAGTGATGAAGTTGAAAAAAATTATCATTTTTCCTTCTCTTTGTCAATTTTAACAACATTTTCTTTTTTTAAGACTTCATCAAGTCCATTTAAGAACACATTCAAGTATGGGTTTTATTGTAAAACTTGGATTAAAGGCACAACAATGTACATTTTCAAAATCCACGAACTATCAAGCTATGGAAATAACCACACTTTGTCGGCCATTTTCTAGCTAATTCTACCTCTGAAATCAGGCGACCCCCATCTCCTTCAATGGCAAATATCTCAACTTGAAAATTCAAGATACATTTTGATGGTCTTTTTTTCATCGAAAGCAAGGCAAAGTAACAAGATTTAAGATTATACAAATAATTCCTCGTGCCCAAAAATTGAAGAGAGCCTGATTCGACCGCGAGGTGACACATTTTACAAAAATGTATTGGAAGTTCCACATCTAAATTGATCGCTTTTAAGGACAAGCAGGCTAAACCAGATTTGGGGGGTTCCAGAAATCTTGACCTACATCAAAATTGGGTATTGCCTTTTCCTAAAGGAGAAGTTTGTTTTCATTGGTGTGTATATTTGTTTGATTATAGAGAAAACTCTTCTTGTTTCTTGTTTTTTAAAGGAAATAAACAAGTGGCAAAAACTTTACCTTCGATTTTCTCAAAACAGCATCTTTCGGGATAGCCCCCTTGTGCTTAAAAGCGACTAATTAAACAACCTAGAGCGTGCTGAAAGTGACTCAACATTTGCACCATCCATAGGTCTTGCCCAGACCGGCCAAAGCCCTGTACCGAGGCTCAGCTCAACGACCCCAAGCCCAGTCCACAACTCCTCGTGGTGAGTCATGTGTTGTGTTTGTGAGGCCGATCCCAGAGTCGCTCTGTAGGTTTGACCTGTAGCTCGCCTGGCTCGCACCTGTTTTCGTTAAGTTTTTCGGCGCTCAACTGCATAGGGTCATATGGGTACCAAGTAGTGGATGTCAACAGAGAAGTCCAAACGGGGATTCAGGCTTACTCTGCTCACCTCTCTAGCCTCAACAGCACTAAGTCTCGTCTTTTTATGTTAAAGGTTTTGCGGGGACATTTCATTTCGCATGCGGTGATGTTGCTTTCATGGGTTATATTAAGGTCCAGGTCTGGCACTGGTAGCATAATGGTTATGATAATGTTGGTATGAATTGAGGTCATAAGCTGTACCTTAGTGTTCATGGAGATGTTTGGATGAGATAGTAGGGGTGCGAGCTGGTAGGTGACAGCGTTGGCTTTTCGGGTGGGCATTTCTATTTTCTGTCTATGGACACGTTTTCAAAAACTGTCAAGACATTTAAACTCCTTCCCCTGTTTCAGTTGTTTACTATTGGCATGGATGTTTAGGGGACTACGGTTTCGGCTCACTTTCCTAACTTCTGTTATTGATGTGCTTATTTTCATGTTAAATTATTCGCAGCTGTTGTTCAGTTCGGTAGTGTGATTTTGGAGGCTTTGTTGGTTTGGAAGAATAAGACTTTGGTCATTAAGGCTTTCTGGGCTTTGGTTTGCGTCTTGGGTTATTGTGTCCATATATATTATAAACAGGAGGGGAGATAGAACGCATCCCCGTCGTACTCCAGATCTTACTTTGAACCAGTCTGTATTGCCTTCCTTCGTTCGAACTGAGCTTCTGCTGTTGGTGTAAAGAGCTCTGACATTATCTAACATTTGTCCTCTGACGTCAACAACATTAATTATTCAAAATCATGGAAATTCTTTCTCCAAGATCTCGCTAATTGAACCGTGTATTTTCCCAGGGTGCTTTAGTCGGTGGTCCTTTACAAAGCGGTGAGTACAAAGATGATCGACTGAACTATACCCTCAACGAAGTGGCCACGGACTATAACTCAGGATTCCAGGGAGCTTTGGCAGGTCAGTGGAAAACGTAGTGTTTGGAAACAGAAATGTTATTTGTAATTGTTTTATAGTTTCTGTTTTTCTTTCTTTATATTATCATTCAACAATCTTAGGAGGCTGCTAAGAGTATCGTGGACGGAAAAGAAATCAAATGAGGTTGAGCTCGATGAAACCCACGTGGGGCACTCACTGTTAAAAACCGTCAGAAAACGACAAATGCAGTTTTTAGTGCACATGAATAGACATAAGGGTCTCGAACATCTTGCTCTCACTGGCAAGATTGAGGGCAAGCGAGGCAGGGGTAGGCCCAGGGCAACCTACTTGGGGAACCTGAACAAGTGGGTGACTGGGAAAGATCAGGGAAACGTAGCTTTTTTAAGAGCATCCGAGCAAAGGAATGAAAAGAGAAAGATGATCGCCGATGTTTGTCGGTATACAACTTAATCTACTCGTATATTGTTTTCTTTGAGATTTTTACAAAATATTTAATTATTTGTTAGCCCAAACCGTAATATAGTATTTAACATTATCACTGAGTCCTGCATTCACCTATCCATATTTCTAATTTGTTCCCACTGATTTCTACGTTTATTCCTTTTCTGTGTTCAACCAATTATGTTTTTATTCTTTAATTAGTTGATTCATTAGAATTTGTTCCCTATTCAATTTTCCAACTTTTGACTTCGTTTGAACAAGCAGGACACTTTTGGTTCACAAGCTCTTGTGTATTGAGAAAACCTACCCTGAGATGCCAAATAACGCCAGGTCCAATTTCCCGCAAAACCTTAGTTTTAGTTTTAGTAAGGTTTTACGGCGCTCGCAACTGATTAAGGCCATATGAGGGCCAAAGGGTGAATGCCAACAGAGAAGTCCGAAGGGGGGAAATCATGTTTACTCTGCTCACCTCTCTATCCTCAACTGCACAAGACTATCAAGGCACCCTGGAAATAAGAGTTCATAAGAGTGTGACAAAGATACCAAAGAAGTAGAGGAAAAATGATGACAGTACGGATGAGGAAAGAAAAATCAGCCGTTCCCCCAATGTTGTTCCGGCATAGTATGAGCATGACATTGATAAATCAGCCCATTTACAATTCTACTGTGCATAAGAACATCTTAATATCCCCCCTTTAGGAATGGCCTACAGACACTTCAGTCAGTAGCACTGCCCTGTGGGGACGGGGGAGAGGGGGGGGGGCCTCAAAGCCTGAGACAGACAAAATCTTATCAATGTCACTATGGTCGTAGACTGGAACGTAGCAAAAACTGCTAGATAAACCTGTATTTAGTTATCGAAATACATAATTTGCCCTCTGAATTGAACTAGGACATTACGTTCCATATTAGTCAAGAGAATCGTATCCCTGTTGTGCCTGAGCCGCGGGTTCTATATGTGAGTTAGCGTGGTGGAATCAGGCTCTCGTCAAAATAATCAAAGTGAAAAAACTTGCATTTTACCACAGATATGAGAATTTTTATCAATTTTTTTTTTTTGGCTCAACACCTTTCATACCCTTTAAAAAACTCATTTCCGAGTGGAATTTTTCTTAAAAACGTTGATTAAAGGCACAAAAAATGCAAGTTTTCAATTACCACGGACTCTTAAGCTAAGGAAATAACTAATCTTTGGCGGCTATTTTCTCACTAATTTTACCTCTGAAAACAGGTCACCCCCACCTCCTTCTTTTGCATTGCAAATATCACGACTTGTATTCAAGATAAATGGATATTTTTTGCATCCAAATAACGACAAATGAACAAGTTTTTAGATGATGCCAATAACTCTACATGCCCAAAAAATGACGAGAGCCTGATTCCACCAAGATGCCTCTCATATGATAAGTATTGACCCTTGACGTCAGAATTTGAAGACTACGCACAATTCTTGCAGTAAAGATGCTGTTGAAAACAAAAGAAAAACAACAACAATACTAACTCCACCCCCAACCTGCGCGCAAAAAACAATAAAAACAACAACTCCAAAACCCAAAAACAAAAACAAAAACAAAAATAATAATATTACACCAACAAAAACAATCAATCAACCAATCAATCAAACAAACGCTCAAACATACAAACACACAAACAAACAAACTCAGTGTAACGTTGTCACAGTTTCTAACGCTAAGAGTGTGTCCTCTGTCTTCAGGAATCGTTCATCTTGAATTAACCAAGAACCTGCCGCCCACCGTCAACAAATGTCCATGCAAGTCCTGAACTCAACGTGGGTTGGTGACTCCAAGTAGAGAACCCGGCCACGTGATCAGGAAGCAAAGACGAGGCTATCTCTCTATATTAACGCTTCCTGGAGAATGCAAAGGGAAAGAAAAGTTTCTACTGTGAAATAATGCATTCATCAAAATTTGAGCATAATAATATTATTATTAAATATATTATCACAAATCCTGTTCAATATTCTTTGTTTTGTTAAAAGAAAGTAAGTTTAATAGAGTGCGTCATTTGAATAATGTTGTCGTACGTATTATGGTGTTGTTTTTTAGAATTACCGTCAACACTGGCCTAACTGCCATCTGGACAAGATAATTCCCTGTTCCACCGACTTCTTTCCCACCACCACTCCCTCTGCGTTTTTGTAATACCTACCCGGAAAGTAGAAATTAGCAAACTTTATATTTCTCAAACACGTAGACCGGTTCGCTTCATATCTATACGATGCCAAATAACGCCAGGTCCAATTTCCCGCAAAACTTTAATTTTATTTTTAATAAGGTTTTACGGCGCTCGCAATTGATTCTTAGGCTGGAATCCTGAGTTCTAGTCCGTGGCCACTTCGTTGAGGATAGAGTTCAGTCGATCATCTTTGTACTCTCCGCTTTCTTAAGGACCACCGACTAAAGCACCCTGGGGAAAATACACGGTTCAATTAGTGAGATGTTAATTTCAACTTCGACAGAGGATGACGTATGACCCTCCGTCTTTCACGGTCGTGAGCTGCTGTTGCACATTCTGCCATATCCAGTCCACTCCATGTTCTTATGCTGTCCATCCATGTTTCCATTTCTCTTCTCTTACTCTAAGGTATCGAATAAGCGTGACCCCCCCCCTCCCCCGCTTATTAATCTTCAGTATTTTTGCTGATCATGCGTAACATTATATCTAGAATCAAGATATCTGAATGAAACTTCTTTTCTTTTTTTTTTGTTGGTGTCAATGGCAAATTACCCTCAGTATTAGTACTAGTGCCGGGGTTGGCTACCTCAATTTTCTGTGCGTTTTAAAACTTTTGTACTTTGGTTTATAATTTTTAATGAAACTGGTTTGTTCGTAAATGGGAAAAGTTGTCACAGTAACTTACTAAAATCACAAAAATTTCATGATCTCTTGTTCTTTTATTCACTGAAAGAGAAATAAACCGATTTATTCCTATTAGTGCAGGGGTATGAGGTTGAATGTGCCCCCCCCCCAATCCCCCTTTTATTCCACCCCTACCCTCGGTTATTTATGTTGGACCACTTATCCACCCTCACCCCCCTTTTATTCCTACCCCCACTTTCATTCGATATCTTAGACTAGCTCTCCTGTCCCACATCCTTTCTTTGAGCACTTCTTTCACAATGGTCTGGGGATGTCTTAAGAGACCAAAGTAATGTATCTTTCTACATTTTATTTTGTTAAACAGGGTTTATGTGGAGAATCTGACACACCTCATTGTTCGGTTTTTGGTTTTTTTCCAGTTCGTTCTGGCCATGCTCCGGTAGCACCACATCTCAAACGCAGATATTTTGTTTTTTTCTTTCTTTGGTAAAGTCCAGGTCTCAGCGCCATGTAGGAATATGGGAAAGGTGTAGCATTCCAGCATTTTCTAGAGATAATTTTGCTTGAACGTAAATAGTTTGTATATTTGTCTGAACTTTTTTTTTTTTTTTGGGGGGGGGGGGGGGGGGGCAATTTCTGTTCTTTTATTATTTCGTTTTCACGTCTTCCATCATCTGTGATCGTTGCCCCTAGATACTTGAATTGGTGTATTTGTTCGATTATCTCCCCACTTTCGATTATGTCTGTTGTTTTTCCAGAAGATTTTGATTTGGCCATTTTTAGGTTTTTGTTTTGTTGGCGTTCATCTCGAGGCCCTGCCTTGCTGCTGTTCAATTTTACTTCTCTCACAATATTAGAAAGATTTTTTTAAAAAGCGTGTTCTCAAACAGGGCTGTATCCTCTGCTTTTATAATACAGGGTGTCTAAAACAAAAAGAAGATAGCATCCACTTAAAGGATTTTAACTCGGTCAATTCTGCGCTAATTTCAGCAAAACTTCGAAGAAGTAAAATTGAAACAGAGGGACTGTAAGTTTATAGATATGAAGCAAACTAATCCATGTGTTTGAGAAATGTAAAGTTTGTTAATTAAAAACTGGGTAAAACACAAACTTTTACTTCTTGAAAGCGTCAGCTACAGAGGCGTGATCAGCCTGTTCTAGTTTCAGGAAAAAGATGGTAAAACTGCGACATTAACATTAAACGGTCGCTTTTAAGCACTACGGGACTATCGCAAAAAAATGCTGTTTTGAGAAAAACGAAGGTAAAGATTTTGCTCCTGTTGTCAGTTTCTTTAAAAGACAGGGAGAGTTTTATCTATAACCAAACAAATATAAACACTAATGAAACCAAACTTCTCCTATAGGCAGGGCAATGCCCACTTTTTGTGTAGGTCAAGATTTCTGGAAACCCTCGAAATCTGGGTTAGCCCGCTTGCCCTTAAAAGCGACAAAATGGAGATCTCTGAGTGCCGAGAAAGCAGTGAAAAAGTTTGGCTGGGGAGTAGAAAGTTAGTGTTGTGCTGTACAGGCCTGGACCCGGTGAGCTGGGGCCACACCTCACTCACAAGAATGGCTCTTGTATTAAAAATAGACTTTTTTTTCGGTGATAAGTAGGTGTTTTACGGCGCTCGCAACTGAATGAGGTCATATGAGCGCGTAGGACACACCAAACACTTTTCAGTTGGTAGGTAATTTTGAATTTTTTCCCTGGTGGCGGCCGAAGCCTACTCTTATCGATTTTGGACCACGAAGGGATCTTTAACGAGCACAACTTACTCTCGGGACCTCCGAGAATTTTCACCCTTGTCCGAGAAGGTTAGGTCTAGATCTTTCCTACCAAAAGATCAGGGGTGTGGCTGAAAGACAGCAGTAAGAAGGAGCTAAAAAGAAGGAGTGGACAGGCTGCACAGAGAGCCAGGAGCCCAGAGGAGGGGGCAAAGGAGCTGAGAGGGTGGGGGCAGAAATAAGAAATGAAATCAGACGACAGAACATTGCTAGAGAGCAGGAAAGGAGGTGAAAGGAGACAACTCTAGAGAAGAATATTTTTCGGTCGCTACCCGGATTCGAACCCAGGACCTTTGAATGAAATGGTGAACACCTAAACCTCTAGGCCACGAGAGCCCGCAGTGAAGAATTTTGGGGGAGGAGAAAGTGTTGTGTTGTACAGGCCTGTATCGGTGAGCTAGGGTGACACGTCCATACTCAGAAGAAGGGCACTTGTATGGTTCCTCTCGTCACTTTGTCTTGGCCCGATAGAATAGGCTAACACTCGCCTAAGCAGAGACTGTGCCTATCATTTCGGAATTTTACGGTGACCGTTAAATTGGTTCCAGTAGGGAACCTCATAGAGGGTACCCACGTCCCTCGTAACTTACTGGAGCAGAAGAAGATAGGACTAAAGATAACATTACTTAAACGCAATCTCACATCATCAATCATCACCACTATTATTCTAAAACCATCATTGCTCTCAGACCAATGACTTACATCCTTAATCCTGGAATAAGAGAGTAAGAAAGTAAATAAGAATACAATCTTTAGATCATTCCCAAAGGGGGTATATTAACATGTTCTTATGTACAGTAGAATTGAAAATTGGCTGATTTATCAATGTCACGCTCAAACTGTGCCGGAACAACATAGGGAGAACTGCTGCATTTTCTTTCCTCATCCTTACTATCGTTATTTGTCCTCTTCTTCTTTTGTATGTTTGTCACTCTCTTGTGAACTGTTATTTCCGGGGTACCTTGACAGTCGAAACAGACATTGTGCTGTTGAGGCAAGCGAGGTGAGCAGAGTAAGCCTGGTTCCCCTTTTAGACTTCTCTTTTGACATCCACCCCTTGGTGCTCATTTGACCTTATGCAGTTGTGAGTGCCGTAAAACCTTACTAAAAATAAATGCCGGGCAGATCAACTTTACTGTTTCTCATTTCCACCATCGTGCGCTCATAACACAAACTTATGCAGTTGCAAGCACTGTAAAACTTTCGCTAAACTAACTTACTTCCTTCAGGCAAGTTAGCTTCTCTGAAAACCGACGTCTATGGTGTTGCGGTACGTTCTTCTCTTCCAAAACATGTGTATTGTGCGAGTGGTCTGAGAAATGAACACATGATGACCTTGATCGTGCAGGCTGCCTCGTACAACCAGTGAAGCTCAGATAGAATGTCGTCACAAAATAGTGTTAGATACCATTCTCTCTAGCTTTGCCACTGCCAGTGGCAGTGAGAGGCGAAGATCGGGAACATGGGCAGAATGATGGACAGAAACTCGCTGGAGTGTGGCTGGCGGGAGTTCTAATGTGGATAGTTCCTTCTTCTTTTCCATCAAATATCATTTGTGTCACGACGTGGTGGAATCAGGCGCTCGTCAATTTTTGGACATGTGGAGTTATTGATATTATCTGAAAGCTTACTCTTCAGCTTTGCTGTCCGTGAAAAAAAATATTAATCTAGCTTGAACAGAAGTCAAGATATTTGCAATTGAAGAAGGTGGGGTAGCCTGGTTTCAGTGGTTAAATTAATGAGAAAATGGCCCCCAAAATTTGGTAACTTCAATAGCTTAATAGTCCTTGAAAACTGAAAATTACATATTTTGTGCCTTTAAACAAGGTTTCTTAATAAAATTTTGTTTGGAAATGTGTGTTTTCGTATGAACATAAAAGGTGTTTGGCTAAAAAAATACAATTTAGACAAACATTGCCAAAATGGCGGAGTAATGTCCATTTCTTCGATTTCATTATTTTGACGAGCGCCTGACTTCAACACAATGCTTCACATTTATCCTCCTCTCTCCTCCTTTTTGTCTTTGTGTGTTGCCCTCCAGTAGACAAAAGTAAAATTGTTCCCGCATCCGATCCAGACTTTGGGGATTACCTTGTTAGTGAGACAACTTACTGGACCTTCGGCATATAGTGGTAGGGTGTCCAGTTCCTTTCTACGCCGCCTTTACTTCCCCAACTCGAAATCAGCCACCCATTACTGCTGGGTGAGCAGGAGGGATACGTGTCGGAACTGAGTCTCGAACCTAGACTTTCCGCATGGGAGACGACCGCTACACGGTGAAATCAGGCACTCGTCAATTTTTGGACATGCCGAGTTAATGTATCATCATAAAAGCTTATTCATCTCTCTTAAATTCAATGGAAAAATACCCATCTGTCTTGAATAGAAGTCGAGGTGTTTCTCATTGAAGAAAGTGGGGGTCAACGGATTTCGGAAGTAATTTCCGTAACTTGAGAGTCCTTTGGTAGTGAAGATTTAATTTTCTATGCCTTTAATCAACGCTTTTCTATAAAAATTCAGACATAAATTTGTTTTCATAGAGACATAAAGGTGTTGAGCCAAAAAAAAAACCCCCCAAAAATTGCCAAATCGCAGAAAGAGCTGTTTTCTTCGATTTAATTATTTCTGTACAGTTTTTTAAAAAGTGGCAGTGCTACTCAAAACTCTGATGATTAAGGAAATGGCTGGGGGTGTATGATTTGATCAAACTGGCAGTGGGAATCGAACGAGAGTGTTTTTGCTAACAACAGAGTATGCAAAGAAAAAAACTTCCTTATCTGGGGCTCAAAACCACATAAAATTACATGGCTGTACGACCTGTTTCCGATTGTCCGTGCATGGTGTTGTTGTTGTTGTTGTTGTTGTTGTTGCTGTTGTTGTTGTATGTGTTGTGTGTCGTGTACCTGCGTTTGTTGTGTTTGTGTATGTGTATGTGTGTGTGTGTATGTGTGTGTGTGTGTGTGTGTGTGTGTGTGTGTGTTGTGTGTTGTGTACCTGCGTTTGTTGTGTTTGTGGATGTGTATGTGTGTGTGTGTGTGTGTGTGTGTGTGTGTGTGTGTGTGTGTGTGTGTGTGTGTGTGTGTGAGTGTGTGTGTGTGTGTGTTAATGAAAGAGAGAGAGAAAGAGAGAGAGAGAAAGAGAGAGAGAGAGAGAGAGAGAGAGAGAGAGAGAGAGAGAGAGAGAGAGAGAGAGAGGGTGGGGGGGGGGGAGACCGAGAAAGATGGGAATTGGAAGGGAGGAGGGGGTAGATACAGACAGGCAGACAGATAGACAAACAGACAGACAGACAGACAGGCAGACATACAAACAGACATATACATATAGACGAAGCGAACGGGACAGATAATGAGATAGATAGATAGATAGATAGATAGATAGATAGATAGATAGATAGATAGATAGATTCCTTGTGGCAGCTTAAGGTGACACAGATAACGAAACTCTCTTGTTGCAATGTGTTGGTAGAATATCTTTAATACTTTTAATAACGATAGGGGCGGGAGGGGGAGGAGGGGAGGGGGTTACATTCACTGACGAAATTCAATGATAAATTTTATTATTCAACCCCTATACTTCAGAATGATTTTTCATTTAAAGTAACGGGGCTGTCGTCTACGATGTGAAGTAGGTCCGGGTAAGGGAAGTTGTGACGTAGGTCCTGGTCATGGAAGTTTTGACGTAGGTCTTGGTCAGTGCAGTTGTGACGTAGGTCCGTGTTAATGGCGGCAAGGACACTTGTTGTTTGTAGATGGCATTGTGTGATGTTGTTGCAAGTGCAGGATACCTGAGAAACAACAGCAGCAGACAAAGCATGTTATGTGTTGTTGTTGTTGTTGTTGTTGTTGCTGTTGTTGTTCTTGCCACTATTGTTGCTGTTGCTGCTATTGTTGATATAGTTACTATTGTTGTTATTATTGTTCTTGCTTTTGTTCTTGTTGCAATTGTTGTTGTTTCTATTGTTATTGTTGTTACTCTTGCTATTGTTGTTACTGTTCTTGTTTTTGTTGCTATTGTTGTTATTTTTATTATCTTTGTTACTGCTGTTATTGTTGTCATTGTTGCTATTGTTGTTATTTCTATTATTGTTTTTGTTGTTATTGCGGTTGTTATTGTTGTTCTTGTTACTTTTGTTATTTCTATTATTGTTGTTATCGTTGTTACTGTTGCTATTTGGTGTTGTCGTTATTGTTGCTATTGTTGTTATTGCTCTTGTTCTAGTTGCTACTGTTGTTATTGTTCTTGTTCTAGTTGCTATTGTTGTTATTGTTCTTGTTCTAGTTGCTACTGTTGTTATTGTTGTAAGAACACACATGTATATACTACATTATATTTTACTTTTTTTCTCTGTTCATTATCCTCTCATCTTTTCAATCTCTCTCTCTCTCTCTCTCCCACCCCCTTGTAGTCTGAAGCCACCTCCTCGAGGACGTAGCCTTTTCTCCCTCTCTCTCTC